CTAAAGTTTGGTTTAAAACTTTCAAGCTAGCACAGCAAGTGCCAGTGCCGGGTGGTGATGAAGCAGATGAGGACCTCGAAGTGTTGATGACAGATAGTGACCACTGGTTGCTTGATCATGGACGTCAGAAGCTTGTTCGTGTGCATGTTGTGGAAAGACAGGGTGCTTATGTGCCGTGTAAGCTTGAGTTGCCTGTCGAAGCATCGTGCGTGGGTCACAGTTGCCGGTCGGTTGTGTTCGGTCGAGAAGGTGGCAAGATCGTGCATGAGTACGACTGGACAGGTGGCGAACAGTCATTGCCTGTTATCAAAGGGCCATGGACCGGAACTACCGAGTTTGAGCTTGTTGATGGTTGGGCATGGCGTTCCAGAAATCTGGAGTGCTTTGAAGTCAAGGCCAAGAAAGGACGAAAGGAGTTGACAGAGGCCGATATCAGCTCTGATCGTCAATCCGGTCTTAATGCTGCGAAGGCCAAGGAATGGAACAAGCTTGTGAGCAGTGGCGCAATCGTTGTGCATGAAGGCAGTGAAGCGCGGCGGTTGAAGGAGTCGGTCCCAAGAAAAAGGATCCTCAAGTCACGGTTTGTTCTTACTGAAGCAGATCAGGGGACAAGTCCCCAGACTCAAGACATTAAGGCCCGATGGTGCATTCGTGGATACCTGGACCCTGACCTCCTTGAACTTGACACGAGCTCACCAACATTAAGCATGGAGGGTTTCTCGATTGCATTGCAACTGATGGCTTCGCATGGTTGGTCAGTGAACATTGCAGATGTTGAAGGGGCCTTTCTACGTGGTGACACCCTGAGTCCCACTCGTGGACGGCTCTTCATCGATCCGCCTCCAGGAGGAGTACCAGGCCTGTCCGAAGGTTGCTTGATAGAAGCTGTGAAAACTGTGTACGGCCTGGCAGACGCGCCAAAGGCATGGTGGGAGTGCTTTTCATCCAAGCTGGCCAATCTAGGAATGAGGGTGTCAAAGTTTGATCCGTGCATGTTTTACTACTACCATGGAGGGTGTCTGAGTGGAGTGGTAGCTGTCCATGTGGACGACTTGTGTCTGGGCGGTGACAAGTACTTTCATGACAATGTTGTGAAGCCCCTCAAGGAATTGTTCCCCTTCAAGCACTGGAAAGTGGGCAGCGGTGAGTTTCTAGGGAAGCAATTGCAACAACAAGCGGATGGAAGCATCAAGATCAGCCAGTGTTCGTACGCACAACAGCAGCAAGGGTTGAACATTTCACGTGAGAGAAAACGAGACAAACACGAGCCCATCACGGAAGATGAGAGGCAACAGATGAGAGGAGTGCTAGGTAGCATCAACTGGCTTGTGACTGGAAGCAGACCAGACTTGGGAGCATGGTGCTCTCTGCTCCAACAGCGAGTGAACACTGCTACAGTTGCGGACTTGATTGATGTGAACAAGTTGGTTAGCCTCACACATGACAATTGCAGTGCTTGCGTGTGGGTCAAGAGCATTCCTGTGTCAGAGCTACAATTCGTCATGTTATCCGACGCTGCGTGGGCTAATGCTCAAGGGCTGTGTAGTCAAGCTGGCTATATGATTGCAGCATGTGACAAGAGGTTGTCCCAAGGAGAATGGGGCACTTTCAGTGTGCTACGCTGGAAAAGCTATAAGCAGGACCGGCAGACACACTCGACTCTTGGCGCAGAACTGCTAGCCCTTTCTCGAGGCATAGCCGAAGCACGGTGGGTTCGTTCAATGTGGTGCGAGGCGGTGAACTACCAGTACGATCTTCGAAGAGATGGAGACTGGAGCAACAAGCTGCCAATCACTGCAGTCATTGATTGTAAACCTGTGTACGACCACACGCAGAGTGCAACAGTGGCTGTCAAGGACAAACGTATGGCGATAGAGATGCTGTTGGTGAA